TATATGGGGAAGTCTCAGACGTAGATTCGGGGTTGCCACTTGAGCTTGCCTCCTCTTCTGGTTCCATTATAGGTTCCTTCTGAGATTTGTCCTTGTCCCCTATAATTAGGGACACTCTTATAATTGAGAACTTTTCTTTCTGAGTTTCGTCAGAAAAATGGGTTGGGGCGTATTGAGCAAGTTGAGGCAATAGTTGGCCCTCGGGCTCTGTCCGTGGGAATAGACTCCTTAATCGGAGTAGCTATATCCTTATCTGCGGCATTGTCCTGTTGACTATTATTGTCGGAGGTAAGTGCTTCGGCTATAGTGCGATTAAACGCATCAGCAGCGGCAGCGTTTTCTCTCTCCATCTTTTTCTTTTCAGCTCTACGCTTCATAGAAGGATTATTGTCTTTCTTGGTCGTAATCTTAACTTATGGCTGCTAGCTAATCTCTTAAGGACTAGATTGGACAAGGAATTTTTTTGGGTAGTTAATTTACCTTGACGCTTAAGCAGTCTAAGTAACTAATACTTTTGCTAACTTTAAAATGTGTAATATTTGGTCTATTAAGGCGATATTAACGCTATAGAGTAAATAAACGCGTAGGTAAATTCTAAGTATCGTGAAAATATCAAAGTAAATAAATGAAATGAGACTTTTAGTAAAGTTAGGTATGCCTCGTGAAAACAGCAATACTCTGAGGGATTGTGAGGCTGAGATATTGCCTATATATAATCCTCTCAGTACTGTTTCCGCCGAAAGGGTTCTATTTAGTGTTTCGTTGTCACTCTATTAGAAACTATGGTATGTTTCACTGGGGCGAATCCGAGAGACTCATAAAACCCCATCTTTAGAAAAAATATATATATAAAATATAAATACTCTTGAAGTCCTTAGTTATTGTCTTAACCAATAACTTGCCACTTATCAAGAATTACCGACTTAGCCTTCATCAGACTGGCACATCGAGTTGGCTGATCGGAGGATCAACTAGGTAATGTTAATAGTCCCTAGAAACCTATATTCGGTTGAGCCATTTCGCTACCGAAGTATTCAGATATATATAGAGTTGGAAAGTATATAAAGTTCTATTAATAGAACTAGACCAACTCTTTATGTTTGATATTTTACTGGGGCCTTTTAATGGCCTTGTCCAAATATCTGATATGTAAAATGGAAAAGGTATTAATTAATAAAACCAATAAAACCTATTTAGGAAACTTAAGTTCCTCGTACTATTAAGAGTACGTTTATAATTTACGTACTGCTTAAGGGTACGTTTATAACATAGAGTCTAATGTGGAGGCCCGGCTATTACATTTCTACATGAAATATTGAACCTTTTGAATTTCTGAGACTTGCGAAAGTGCCAAATTCGGTGATATTTTAGTTCAGGTCATGGTGAGCAATTTCCGCTATCTAACTCATCGATCGGGCCAGTGGTTGATGCCACTTGATGGTGCTATACTTGCTCGAAGTAGGGGTGATTCCAAACCCTATCTATACGCGAGTGCACCATAGCAATCTCCAACTCATCACTCTCCTCTCTCTATTACAGAACAGACTCTCTCTGTCTGAGTGAGTGAATGAGTGAGTAGTGAGTCAAACCATTTTCCGAAAAAACTTTTATAAATCGAATAAATATACGTTTACGTTCAACTTTTATTTCATATGCGGTCCTTTGTATGTTCATAGGTGCAACTTGAGAGAGTGTGGCTGAGAGAGATAGAGAAAAAGAGGGGAACACTATATAAAGTCTAAATGCCTAATAATATCTATGGACTAAAAAAATTATGACCAAATACACACACAGCCTTCTGAAATTTACACATTTTCAGAAGGCTATGCCAAATACCTTACGTCTAAACCTCGTGACTCAAACCTCTTATGCATAAAAATATGACAAAAACCCCTCATGCCTAAAAATCATGTACCTTTTGCCGTAGCCTTCTAAAAAATAGACATTTTGCCTAAATTTTATGACTAAAACCTTTTAATCCTAAAAACTATTCTTAAAAACCCCCTATGCCTAAAAATAATGCCTAAAACCCATAATGCCTAAAAATTAGGACTAAAATCACCTTTTGCCTAAATTTTATGACTAAAACTTTTAATCCTAAAAACTATTCCTAAAAACCCCTTATAAATTTATGCCTAAAACCACCAAAAGAGAAACAGAGAGAGTCTCTTAGACCTGTTCCCTTCGTCTGGGGCTTCTGGAAGTTCTGGGGTTGTATTTACATATACGATATCTGAGAAGTGATGTCTCACACTGATCCTTGGAGTCCTTATATATTCGGCCGGAGTCTGATTCTCGATTTTTCGGACCGGCTTGTGGGACTAGTAGGTCTTGTCATCGGAATATTTCTAAAAAGAAACCGGAACCCCAGAAGACTAGCCCGGCACTTTTATAGTCATTTAAAAAAAAACATTCTGTTTTCGGTGTCATAGAGTGTAGAATGAACGCTTCTAAAAACCTCGTTATTTGTATACAATTGACCAAAAGTATAAAATCGTACATTCCCGAATTTAAGCAGATGAGTCATATGGAATTGTTGCCTTCTAAAAATAGAACAACGGATGAAATACATACTTTTTATGGTGACGAACAATCAACAGACGGCATCCTCAGAGGCCGTCACAAGCTCGTCACAAGCAATAAAATCGAGTTCTCAGATAGAGGTAGCGACAGTATTACTTCTGTTGAGCCGTGTTGCACGACATACAAATAACATGTTGGTAAGCCAATTTCGAGCTTTAAAAGCGACTTCGCTTCTGAGGCCCCATTTGTTCAAAGCGGGAACAGTGTTTAATCTGCGCTTGTTCTCCACATCCACCGCCAAGAATGCGTTCCGACGCTCTTCTCCGGCCACAACTATCGGTAGTCGCCGGACTGTGGCAGAGACAATACAAACTCTAAACGGCGGCGAGGCTGTAGGTAGTGCTGCCGGGGCAAGTGCAAAGCCTGCAGGCGCGTTTCTATGGCAACTAGCCGGTGTTGGTGCTGTAGTAGGCCTGGGTGTGGTCGCGCTAGATGGCCTACGCGAGGGTAGTGTGTCCACCGACGGCGCTGCACTCAAGTTCACTAAAGGTGTCTCACAGCGTATCACCTCCACGTACGGCTATGTGCTGGCTGGATTGGGTGTTACTGCAGCCACAGCAACACAAATCGTTCGCTCAGGCTTCCACTACCGTCTGATGAGCGTCAACCCCATCGGACTCGCAATCGGGTCTTTTGCGCTTACAATGGGGGCATTTTTCGTCACTAAATCGGCCTCTGATCCGGTCACTCAGCATGCAGCGTGGTTGGCATTTAATGCGTCTGTAGGTCTATCCTTATTCCCTGTTGCACTAATGGGCGGCGCTTTAGTACAGAAAGCGGCGATGGGCACGGCTGCTGTTGTGGGCGCTATCTCGTTGGTCGCTGCTACTACTAGAAGGTAAGCTTGTGTGTGGTAGTATATTGTATGGAGTGTTCACTGTATTGTGATGTGCTGCGTGTTCTGGTGTATGAGTATTGCATTCTTGCGTTTGGTATATATATGATTGTACACGTTCTTCAGTGTGAGCATTACGCGTATGTATGTGTACAAATGTAAATAGAGTGGTTAGTTGCTTATTTGCAAGCTGTGGAGTTGAATTACGCATATATATGATTTTTGTGCACGTGCATATAAGAGGAGTGGAGATAAAACTATCCCGCATATTACGTATATTGTAAACACTAAACATGGTCCATGCGCAGAATAGGCTTGTTATTGTGCAGATCATCGCCGGTCGTTCGTACACTCAATGGTTGCGTGTTGCTTTGTGATTGTTTCATCCTTCATATACTTCGGGGTTTGGGTGTGATTGTGGTGAACGATTTCCAAAAGACTTAACCGACGACTATGTCCCATTGGAAGTAGTGTTCATTTTGGAAAAAGTTCACATGGGGTGTCGCATGCGTACGCAAATTCCTGGGTCGTTTCTATGGCGACGCACATAAGGAGTATTCAGCCTCGTAAACAACCACAGCATCCGTACAAAGCCACATTTCACATTTCACATCTAGGGTCGTGTGATGTATATATCTCCATCAGTAAACTGTTTGTGTACACCGTTGCATCGTTCTTTATCATGATGTCAGTTTGGATTGTGTGCTAGGCCGTTGACTATGTATATGCGCGTGTCAGCATATGTATGCATGTACTTTGTACTACAACGCTTGTGTTGTGTGCGTGTAGATACATTCTGCGCTTGTAGTTGTGTTCTACGCACCCCGTTGTTAACCTTGCTTGTACTTATACTGGCATTGCATGTATAGTCGCACATGTCCTAATGGTATCACTCTGTGGAGCTACAACGCCGAAGTACGCGTACGACTCACGGAGAGCATATCATATGTATCTGGGGTATTAATAATGAATATATAGTGTATGTATTCTATGGTGTTTGTGTATATACAGTCCGTCATTCCATGCATCGATTATGCCATCTATACATGGGTGTGATACATAATTATGCTATAGATCTATTGCATGAAAAGTACAAATACACATTCCTTTCAGTTCTGCCACTCAATCAGATAGCTGTGTACTATAAATAACTTCTATTAGAAACATATGTTTCGTTAAAGCAGCACGTGCATGTGTAGTTTGTACTTAGGGATGCGAATGCCAAATTTGAGGGGTCATCAGGAAGGGTGGATCTTACATCCTTTCGAATCTACGGTGGTCTTTTTTTAAAAGACGCGGGTTTCTATGTGGCCACGTGTATGGCTTGCTATACATGTATTCTATCTGTGATGGCGTTTGCCAGTACCAATACCAATCCGCACGCTGTCATGTTCACCGCTGGTATGCACCGGAATAGCCTCTAAGCTTTGGAAGTAGTGTTGTGTGCGATACTCCATTCGCTCTAGCATTCGTACGTGGTTACATATAGATATACACCAATAGCCGGACCTGCACCAGTATCGCAGTATCACCTACACCGCTACAACGTGCAATTTCAAGTTAACAAACAACTCATGAATACTGTATGGCATTCTAATCTGATAAACGTACACACCACAAGCAACCAAACCAAGCTCACGTACCCCTTTCCTACACACACTTAGCCACGCAGTAATAAACCTGATGGCATTTTAATCCGACAATTGTATATATCACCAGCAATCAATACAATATCTCACCCCTCACTCCCAAACACTTATCCACACAGCGATGCACACATTGGCATGCGAGGGGGTCTCGCCGTAGGCCTGGGCGTGGTCATGGCCGCCAGTTTCGGGTCGCTGTTCTTCCCCGCGTCACCCATGCTACACAACGTGATGATCTACGGAGGTCTGGCTGTCTTCGGTGGTCTAACGTTCTACGACACGCAGCATGTCATGGCTAAAGCCAAGACGCAACCGTATTTCAACCCGCTCTCTGAGTCCATGAAGATATACTTGGACATCGTCAATATCTTTACGCGTATTGTTATGATCCTGGGTGGTGGCGGTAACAAGCGAAAGTAGACGAGTGTTGTAATAGTTGGTGCTGGTACTACAGGGCGAGGCCAGGCCTGAGTGGTCGCCTATGCTGATGTAAGCCATTCATCAGGCTATATATATATATATATATATATATATGTGTGTTTGTATGTATGTATATATATATATATATGCAAGGTATATAGGTATTCGACATTACTCAGTATACACGCGCCTACTGGAATATGACATTGCATAGGCGAAGCCGGGCCGCCACGGCCGCTCAAATAACCCACCCTCTAGTAGATCAGTGGATTAACCGTAGTGGAATCGTCGAGGGAAGACCAAACTTTGGAAAGGTGTCAGTAGGGGTGTCGGTGAAATCGTTCCCCATCATCGAAGGGGCACAGTAGCGACGTTGCGGTAGACTTGTGGCATTGTTTTAGCGTTTAAACGTTGGAACGTTAGAGAGACCCGCCCGCATTGGTGGGTGTAGAAAGAAGTTGCGTTGGAAGGCATGCATATGCAGCGCCCACTAGAGAGGCTTTGGGGATACAGGGACAATATGGTATCAGTATGTCAATTCGTTAACGGTCAGTCTGTCGGCTATCTTGCAAGCTTTAGTAGATTACCCAATTGACTACAATAAAGTTAAGCGCATACTATTTCGATAAAAATCGGGTCGATTCGTTTGATGAAGTTTTACATCTACACACGCATAGTAAGTGGCAAGTAAACGTGTTGCACAGAACGCGAGATGATGTTCAGTACTCTCGTACATACCTTGAGGCGATCAATTTGATACATATTCACCTCCTTGGCGGTCTGGATGAGGTTTACTTGGGCCACGAGAGTTCACGTATGTTAAAAAACGTATTTATTGGAGTCGAAAATGTATGCATTAATATATATTTGTCCAGCATTGAACAAGCGTATTGATGTGAGCTACCAACGTGCATGTTAGTCAAAAGGTTATGATGGGGCTCATTTCTGACAGTAGATACACCGATGCACCGGCATACATCCAGGTTCACACAGACTCCTGCGTAGATCCATTCACATGTGTACATAAAAATACATATATATATATATATATATGAATACAAATATGTAGATATAGATACAAGTATACATATACGAACACTTGTGCGCATCCAGCTTTTTGCACGAATAGATTTGTAGATGTTCTCATGCACATGAGTCAGTAAGTCAATTTATGTAAACCCATGTCGAAAGTCAATGCATACATTCAAATTTAGAATATTTTGTGACTATGGCGGTAGTCGCAAATTGGAAGCAAATCCGATCCGTTCACTAAACTCGTTCAGTGGGTGGAGGTAGAGCTCTGAGATCTATAAGAATTGAATCAGTTGTTTTGGCATTTCTTTCTCGATAAACTAAATATATAAATAAACCAAATATATAATGCAGCAGCCTGAGTGCTCGCTTATATTTTAAAATTGGACGATATTGTCATGTCTTAATTACTTAGCACAGATTTTGTATAGCAATTCAGGAACAAAGCATGAATATTCAAATTCCCCTGCAGATAAATTATGCTGCGCCCAACCCTCGATCCATCTGGCGTGGTGCATGCAGAGTCACTGCGTTGTATATATAAAATATGTTATATATGAAAGTGCGTGTAATGTCCAATTCACATTCAAAGTGTTGAGTGTGTATGTATTACTATATCTGCACATCATGCTATATAAATATATTTGAAAGTGCGTGTAATGTCCCATTCATATACCACAGACATGTATGACCGTCCTACTCGCTTACAGTAACGTGTTGAGTGTGTATGCATAACTAAATCTGCACATCATGCTATATAATTATATTTAAAAAAAGTGCGTGTAATGTCCCATTCATATACCACAGATATGTATGACCGTCCTACTCGCTTACAATAACGTGTTGAGTGTTTATGTATTACTCTACCTGCACAT